AGGAATGCGTGATCAATCGGTTATATTTATAAAATTGATACATTTTGTAAATCTAATGCTTACTAGAGAAAGCAGCCTGATATATTGACCAATGTGTTGATACAACATGCATATCAAATAAAAAAATAATTCTTAAATAAAAGTGGTTATAATTTTAAAAATTAGACAAGGAACATAAAAAACCACAGCACAGGTTGTCGGTTGTGATATTCATGGATTTAATATAGCCTATAAACCTATGAATACAATGAACAAATTTATTAAGACGGGAAAAGATTCTCTTTCCAAGTATGAAAAAAGCGGATTAGTCTACAAAATAAACTGTCAAAACTGCGGATCATCATACGTGGGCCAAATAAAACGAAAGTTAAAAACTCGGATAAGGGAACATAAAGGGATGTAAGGAAACCGTCTTCTGAGATCTCCGTTGTTTCGCGTCATCGTCTTAGCAGGATGCATGACTTGGATTGGGAGAATATAGAAATTTTAGACACAGAACAATCTTTGATTAAAAGAAGAATTTCGGAAATGATATAATACATATAAAAAAACAAACAAGAGATATTAATAAGAAAAGTGACACGGAAGGTTTGCCTGATATTTATCTTCCTTTTCTTAGGTAGGTTCTCCTTTTCTTTCAATAATTGTTCTGGAACTTTCGAGAGTTTTGACTCGGTATATAAATAGTGGTACATGTTATGACTAGTAACAACACACAATGTCACGACTAAATTTTAAGTGTGCGAAAGTGATATTTGAGATCCACCGCTTAATTTTTTGGCTGTAAAACAGGTAACGCGTCTATGCTTTATGTTTCGAGTATAAGAGATTAACGATATACAATTTTGTTCTGATTAGAATCTGGAAATTCTTATTCTACATTGTCCGGATATGAAAACTGGCGTTGTAAGATTACCGTACGATGCATCTTCACACAAATAAGAACACTTTTATTTTATTTTAACAACCGACTGTATTTAACTCAATTAAATGTAAATTTGTGTCTTAAGAAGATTTTTAATTACTGAAGATGGCCAGATTGTGGCCGAAACGTTTAATTGTTTATTGATATGTTGTATTGATAAACGCTTAAAAAATTTTTTTTTCATTGATGTAAGTTTGATTATCACAACCGACAACTTGTGCTGTGGTTTTTTATGTTCCTTGTTTTCTAATATTTAAAAAAATAATTATTATTCCTTTTATTATAGCGTGTTGCAAGCGTTGCGGTCCAATCAGAGTTGAATTAACTTGATGTTGACTGTAACGCTTGTGACGCTGCGATGCAACTAATGTAGAACCAGCTTTAAACGAAACTCGCATATGTGTGCAAAGAAAATTTATAATAAATATTAAACAAATTAGTATTATTAATTAACATCTCAATATATTTTATAATTGAAATCATATCGTTAACACTAAATTTTTTTAATAATACAATTACAAATAAATATTAGAATTAACTTGTAATGTACTGCTATTCTATCTAATTAATCAAAATTAAATCGAACGAATTTGTACGACCTTCTATAGATACATGGTATACATGGATGAAAATGGAGACGCCGAAGGTAATTACACATTGATTGCATTGGATAATCGACCTGTGAAAGGCTACGGTCTTTATCCAATTGGATATTTCATTGGAAAGGAGCAAGGCACAAATTTACCAGTAAGTAAACTACAAATCGTTAACGCAACATTTTACCTTTTATTTGAAACGAAAAAAATATTTATTATATTAATTTTATATTAACTAATTATTAACTAATTATGTTGCCACAAAAGTTTAATATTATCAAATGTATAGATAATTACCATATTTTGATGTAATGTAAAATATATTCTACTTTAATAATTAAATTACAAATTTTTAAGAAATAACTTATTTTTAATTTTAAAGAATATTATTTTTAATTTGCAAAAAATTTGAAAACAAGAAAAAGCATGTGTGTGATCGATCTTTTTTCATATGGAAATTGTCGAACATAAATAACGCTTCATTATATCTATATTATAAATTATTTCAAATTATTTTCTTGTTCAACTTCCAATAACAAAATGTTTAGAAGCTTCAGTTAAATAAAAAAATACAATGGCTCGGAAATGGACCACCGATTGCAGAGCCTTATTGTGGATACTATGGCGAAAAATGTTACTGTGAGTATAATAAAAATTAAGGCAATATTAAATAATGGGAGAGCGGGGGTTGGATAATCAAGATTCGGATAATCGATATATTACAGCAATATTGCAACAATATCATTTTGAAAAATTGCAACATTGTAGCTACATTCCTATATGTCCGCAAAAATTAAATATTGTTGCAATATTCTTCAATATTGCTGTAGAGGGAGATTCTACTTTATTGTATTAATAACTTAATAATAATAATGAATTATTATTATTAATAATTATATTATTTATAACTATTATTAATAATTTATAAATATATGCTGTATTTTTATCGTGAAGAGTGATATAAATATTTTCTATTATAATACATTTTATTATTTTTATATACAAATATAATTTTTAAAAAATATGCTAATGTTATATAATGTTTTTAATAAATAATTAATACGATACTTGAATCAGTAAATTATATAACAGCTCTTAATAATGAATTGATGTTTGTTTATAGCTCATACTGGCAAAATTATAGGAGGCATTCTTGGCGCATTGTTGTTTATTATTACAGTGATTATCTTAATTTTTTATAAAAATTGGAAATACGAGCAAGAGATAGATAGTTTGCTTTGGAAAATTAACTACAAAGACATTGAGATCAAGGAGTACACAGAAAAGCGAACTAGTCAAGTGTCGCTAAATTCTAATTCAGATGCAGATTTTCGATATTCAACGATTTATACACAAATTGGACTGTATAAAGGACAAATTTTCGCTGTTAAAAAAATCAGAAAAAAATCGATTGAGATCACGGAAAAGATGAAAAGAGAACTAAAAGTGGTAATGTTTGTAACGTCAAAAATTTTAATTTAAAATTTGAAATTACAATATAACAATTATTATTAAGCAATTATAAGACTTATTTGCTATTAAAAGAATGTATTTTCAGATGCGCGACATTAGACACGATAACTTGAATTCCTTTATTGGTGCTTGTATCGAACCACCTAACATATGTGTCATCGTCGAATATTGTGCACGTGGTAGTCTCAAAGTCAGTAATTTTACAAAATATTACTTGCATTGTATATATTTATTGATTAAATTTCCGTTAATAACGCAATGTTTTTCAGGACATATTGGAGAATGAGGATCTGCATCTCGATAATATGGTCATTTCGTCTCTTGTCGGCGACATTATTAGAGTAAGTTTCATTTTAAATTTTGTTTTTATAAAATTTATATTTTCTTCTTCTTAAAGTTTATTTAATTAAGATAGTACACTCACGATAATATCATCCAAAAATTTCATCATGAACTCGGTGATGATACTCCCATTTCAGAACCACTTCGATCAACTCCGATCAACTTTAATCGATAATTGAAATTGATCGCATTTGTCAATGATATATGTGATTGGCAAATTCTAATGAACTAATTAAATGGCAAACGTTTTTAATTTACAATCACCATCCAAATATTTTTCTTGATTAAATGATACGTTGAAACAAAATTTTTGCATTTTTTTCACAGTCCTATTTTCCAAACTAAATCGTAAAAAATTATAACATTTTTTCACAATATTTTTTTCTCCATGCTCGTTTTTTTAATATATCATTGCTAGTTTAGGCAATAAAATAATAAAAATTAAACGCGATTTTCATGAACTTTACATAGGCGATAATATTTTCAATTCGCGCGAGTGTACTACCTTAATAAAATATACTATGTTCATTTTAAGAGATGATTTTTTTCCGTACAGCATCAGACTATTGAATGCAATGTAACATGAAAAAAAAAGTTTATGACTAGAGAAAATGTCACAAATTTCAAAATTGTTTTTTATTTTATGTTATATTACATTTAAAAATAATTAAAAAGAAAAGCTAATAAAAATCGAGCGCAGTTCTTGATGCTCAAAAATAAAATAACCAACACAATTTATTAATAAAAGTACATAATTTGAACGTTTCGGCTCAATTACGAGCCATTTAGGCATTGTTCAATCACATCGAAGTCAATGTTGTGTCAAAGTTTCTCCCGTATTATATGTGATTCGGACTGTCCGTTATTGATTCAAAATGTTTATACGTTCATATATGCTCGTTTCATATTCGCACGGAAAACACACATAACACATTAGTCACACCGAAATAAATATGCACAAATGTATAATGAGAACTAAAACTTTATTGAGAAAATGACAAAAGTGTTAAAAACTCAGAGCAGTAACTAAACAAACACGTCATTAGAGAAAAGATCTTCTGTCTTCCTGGCAATCGCTAATGTGATGAACTCGGATCATAGTACGGAAGAGACTTGACTAGAACCTTATCCCGGATCTACAATAGAGTTTTAAACCTTAAGCCATAAGAAATGAACGAATCATAATCGATTATTCTTCTCAAATTCGACTGTAATTGATCAATTTCTTATGACTTAAGGCTTAAAACACCTGTAGATCCAAATGGTCTAGATACATGCTAAGTAACAGTGACGAGAATAGAGCGATAGGAATACTTATATACAAATAAGCGATATAAACTTCAGTCAATAATATATTAAAAAATAATCTTATATTCTCCATCGCATGTGACAAAAACGATCCAGTATCTTCAAGTTAAATAAGTGTCAGTTAATCGGTTCATAAACCAAATATACAATGGACTATTATAACATTCTAATATCCGTTTCCACCAATGTAGATAGATTAATTTTAATCACAGTCCAACTTACTCTTCATGTTTTTTTAATCTTTAGAAAAAGACAAAGAATAAGTTGAACTGAGATTAAAGTCAATCTATATTGGTAAAAATGAGCATAAAAGGGATTACACAACAGTTTATAATTTATTCGGCTTGTAAACCAGCTGCGACTGCTTATATTTAACTTGAAAATCCAAGACCGCTTCTATTATGCACAAAATGAAAAATGTAAGATTACTTTTTATTATATTTTAAGATTGAAGATAAGTTAAATTCAAGCCAAAACGTACAAATTATGTATCTTTAACTGTTAATTGTTAACTGTTGATTGGACGGTAGCCATTCTGTCTAATCATCTAGGGTATGATCTATCTGCATGAATCGGTAATTAAATATCACGGATCACTGAGTCCTTCCAATTGTCTTGTGGATTCACGATGGGTCGTAAAATTAACGGATTTTGGCCTGAATGAATTTAAACGAAATGAGGAATGCGATTCTAACGTCATAAAAACACTCCATGGTAAGCTGAAAGAAATTTTTACATCCGATTCGATAATTATATTAGGTGTTGGAATTAATTCGTAGCGTTTTTTAATGAAAGAATGTTATTTATTTCACATGAGCATTAAAAAATACATTAATGAAAGTACTTCCCATCTCTTGTAAAACGCTACGAATTAATTCCAACACCTAATACTTTCGAATTTTTATAATTTTAACTGTTACTAAATTCTTCTTCTTTTATAATCTTTTTTAATTTGTCAATTAAGAATTGTACAAAATGAAAGAAATCGATTCAATATCCGCTATAATGATTACGAAAAAAGTCTATATAGAGGAGTATTATGCCGAATATGAGTATCACTCAAATAATATTTTTAATTATATTTTCCATTTGATATGATATGGTTCCATTGGTACTGATTTGTAAATAAATATTAAAAATTATTGTTTTGTCTCAAACACTTGTTACTACATTTGAGCGGCAGTCGCTGCTGCGTGCTCAGACATGTTTATAACAAGTGCTTAGACACATTTTATCTTGTTTGGTAACAAAATAAAAAATATTTTTGACATACTTAATCTTATCAATTTTATATAGTATAAAAATAAAAATAAAAATCACAAAAATGAATAATCACAATTCTCCTTCTTAGAATTAAATAAGATCGACTTATTATTGTCTTCAGATAATAAGACAAGAGTATTATAAATATAAGTATTATATATTCTTGCATTAGTATAAATCTTTATATGTTATAACGCATGATGCTATTGTTATATATTTGATACAAAATACCGATATTCAAGATCATTTTATTTCAGATTTAAGATTTTTACATTTAAGAGTAAAATATTCTTCTGTTAACAATAAATATGATTGTTTCTATATCAATCTTATTTTATAATAGATCAAAGAGTAAAGACTGCCGCACAATTTTTTTATAACCATAAAACATACCATAAAAATTAACTAATTATAATCAAGAATTATCAAAAGTTTTCTCAGCTGTGATTGGCTTATTCTTACAGTACGTTTTACAATTGTAACAAAAAGTATGTGCGGCAATCCTAATCAATCTTAACAACGTTGGATTCTAAAATCATTTGGGAATGTTACCTATTAATGCATGCATTTATACTTTGCGTAAAACGTAACTCATTATTCAACATTACCATTATTTGTTATTAATTTTAAAAATTAATGAATCGTTACTTTCTAAGCAATAATTTATTACTTTTTTCGTTACATTTTGTAATGTTAAAATGAAACAGATTTTAAGATTATTATTTAATAAACAATATTAATTATAATAATCAATATTAAAACTTTAAATTCTAAGCTTTATATTCTAGTCTTTAAATTCTAGTCTTTATATAGCAATTTTTTTACATTTTTTATATCAAACTTACCTAATAAATCTTTTAAATTCTGTATATTAATATCAGTGATAGATTAACATATAGACAAAGCACTTGCCTAAGGTAGCAAATTTGAAGGGGCGGCAAATTTTTCAAGACAGAAAATTTTCATACAGTTGAGATAAATTTTTAATTTATTAATCTAATGTTTTTGCACGAGTTACACCGAACATATTTTATCACTGATATCAGAAACGATATTTTAAATATGCAGTTAAAAATGTATTATATTTATATTACACTTATTAAGGATTATTGAATGTTTTTACTAGATAATGCAGGGGTATATCATTTTTTATCCCTTTCCTTTTTATCAAATTTATAAATTAATAAAGGCACCTAGGTAATGTTGGTACCTAGGGATGGCAAAATGTTTAATCCGTCATTGATTAATATTTGAAGTAAAAAAACAATTATTACTGAAAAAAGTAACAAAAACAATAATACCGTACAAGCATCTTATCCAAGCTTACAGCTTGACAGCTCTGTAAGCTTGGATAGAATGCAGCTTAAGCAATCGATATGGATTTTGCAAATCTCCCCTATAATTAATTCTCTTTCATGTAGGATTGCTATACAAAGCACCTGAATTATTACGCTGTACTTCTCCCTGGGAGCTAAATGTTCGTGATTTGCAAAGAGGGGATGTATATTCATTCGCCATAGTTTTATACGAATTACAAGGACGACATGGACCATTCGGTATCACTGATTTATCAGCAGATAAAATATTAAAAAGAATAGAAAACCCATATTATGAAGTATCACCGTTTAGGTAAGCTACTATAAATATAATTGTAAAAAATATATAATTTTATAATTTTTATTAAAAAATTTGAAGAAATGTTCTTTTTTTCTCACAAAATAATGATAGACCACCATTGGATCAATTGGATAATACGTTCGATTTCATTCGTAAATGTTTGCTCGAGTGCTGGTCAGAAAATCCGGAGCTCCGTCCAGATTTTAAAATGATAAGATACAAGTTGAGACCGCTACGAAATGGCATGTGAGTTTTCTTTATAATATTATATATTTGTTAATATCACAATATATACACAAAATACACGCGCGCGCGTGTATGTATGTATGTATGTGTATGTGTGTGTGTGTGTGTGTGTGTGTGTGTGTGTGTGTGTGTGTGTATTGGATTAATAAAATATTATTTTGTGTATATTCCATGATACGGATTAATTATCATATACATATATATGTGTGTGTGTGTATGTATAATTAATCCGTATCATGAAAAGCAATATTTTCAAGAATTTATTAAATCTATTTTTTACTTAATCGCGTTCGCTTATGTTTTCTTTTCAGGAAAGCGAATATTTTCGACAATATGATGGCAATGATGGAAAAATATGCAAATAATCTTGAAGCACTTGTTGACGAACGGACGGATCAATTAACTAAAGAAAAAAAGAAAACAGATGCATTACTATACGAAATATTACCACGTTACGTAGCCGAACAACTAAAAATGGGACATAAAGTAGAGGCTGAAAGTTTCGACTGCGTTACCATTTATTTCAGTGACATAGTTGGTTTTACGTCCATGTCTGCGGAAAGCACGCCGTTAGAAGTAATTTATATATAATCATAAACATATTATTATTGATTGCTATAAACTCGTTTATTTTTCCTATTAAGAATATGTGTTTATATATATATATATATATATATATATTCTATGTATATTCGCATGTACATGGAATATATAGCTACATATCCCACTTTTTTCTTGCAGATTGTTGACTTTCTCAATGATTTATACACATGCTTCGACTCGACGATAGAAAACTATGATGTTTATAAGGTCGAGACCATCGGGGATGCTTATATGGTGGTGAGTATTACGAAAGCAAAATTGCTTACGGCAATTATTTAAAATATAACTTTGTAGTGATCAAGAAAATTGTATTAAAAAACCTATCAAATAACTCTGTCATTTAATGTCTCAGTCGAATTTTTTCCTAGGTAAGCGGTTTACCGATAAGAAATGATATTCAGCATGCTAGTGAAATAGCGAGCATGTCGTTGTGTCTTTTAAATGCCATTAAACAATTTACCATTCGTCACAGACCATTTGATAAACTACAACTTCGCATAGGAATACATTCCGGTACGTTTTAGCGAATAGAGCTAGAAAGCGAATAGAATGTCTAATAGCAATTAGTAATAATAATTTTATGATAGGTCCAGTATGCGCTGGCGTCGTTGGATTGAAAATGCCACGATACTGTTTATTCGGTGATACAGTGAACACTGCTAGTCGTATGGAATCCACAGGATTACGTGAGTATTATTCAAAAATATTTTTTATCGTACATTTAACAAAATAAATGTAAATATATAAACATGTCACAAATAACTGAAATTGTAAAACCTTATATTATATATACACGTATATATATAAAATTCGCGCCCGCGAAGCACAAACATGATACTTTATGCTAAAACAAATAACTTTTTCCTTTAATAATATTGTGTCCGATAAATAATTTTTGCGCTTATTTGTTAACTTCAACCTACTTTATTTGCAAAAACTACTTGTCAATTTTGCAAAAAAAAAATTGTTTCTTTTAGCATAAAATATCACGTCTTGTACTTCGCGGGCGCGAATTTTGAAACACGCTGTATATAATAGCTTCAATTTTTAATTCTTGTCTACATAATATAGAGATTATTAAAAAAAACATATCATACTTCTTAATACACACAAATTTGATATGCGTTTTCGCAGCGCTCAAAATTCAATGCAGCTGTGAGACGAAGCAGCTGTTAGATCAGCTAGGAGGATTTAATCTTATCGAGCGAGGGGTGATTTCCATGAAAGGGAAAGGCGACCGTTTAACATATTGGTTAATCGGAGAAGATCCGTTATTATGTAGCAAACGTAGCAAAGAAAGAGCAAGTAAACAAAGCGGTAAAAAAATCAACGTGGCAAATGCTTTAGTTCCTCGAAGTTCTCTAAAGAACAAATCTCTCGTCAGAACAACTTTCACGAGATGTTCCAGCGATTCTCCGAAACGCTTGCGATTTACCAGTTCAGATCAGCTTAATCAAAAAGATTCCAGGGTGAGTCAATCAGAATCGATAGCCGACAACAGCAAAACGAAGATTTCATGCGTGTTACAATCGTCTCGTATGGAAAACTGGCAATCCTCCAGCAATTCGTGTCCCTGTGTTAAGAAGCTCTACGATCAGGAAACCCAAGAACTGATAAACGAATCGTCGTCGACCATCAAGAATGTATCGCTGCTTCGAGCCAGATTGATCCACAATAACAACAGTCTTATATGTTCTGAAGCCAAAAGTTTCCGCTTCAATTCACCCGACATACTCCTTACTTGTAAATCAGTACCCAACAGCCCCAAGTATAGCAAAGGATATCTGAGCATTCAAAAGAGAGTGGTGAAGTCGTATGAAAAAATCAATGAGCGCGATGTGACACCACTAATTTATGATCCAGGTGGTTCAGAGATTTAAAATCACCACAAACAATAGTAAATATAATAACAAAATTTATCAAGAATTTTAATATTATGTGCTTCATGTATAGGAATATATTTGTAGAATTAACTTTTGACAATCAAGAACGTACACTGGACACATAAAAAAACAATATAATTCATAATTTATCTATCATAATTTAATACCAATTGATATACTTTAACTATTATAGATTTCTCATTTACAGCATATACGATGTACCAAAGCGCATTGTACGTACAAACATTACACATAGATATCAGTGTATTTAGTTAAAACAGAACAATGATATATGTGCGTGCGTGCGTGCGTGCGTGCGTGCGTGCGTGTGTGTGTGTGTATGTGTGTGTGTATATCTTGCTCTTCCAACGCGTAACGATAATATATTCTCTACGTTACAATTATAAAAGGCTCGTGGTTCTAAATAAATATCTAGTCAATGCTATTCTAATATAAGTATGTTTGGTCTCTGACAACTCTCATATAATTGCCAAACATTATATGTAAAAACAGATTAATTTTTTAACGTTATACAAAAAGAATCAACAAATCGTTAGTAATCAAGAAGAGAAAAGTATTATTTTTAAATGTTTTTCTACTAATTTTCCAGTATAAGATACTATTTAATAAATATTCATTTACTTTCAGGAAAAGATTTATTTTCATATATATGCAACGTCTTTCTTTCTGTTTCATTTTATACTTCTCTTCAGAAAACATCAAGAAAATGTTAAATTAAAATATACATTCGTAAAAAATAAAGAGAAATATCACTATATTTTATTGTTGCAGAAATGATTTTCAAAAGTTAAATAATAAATAAAAACACGGACAATTAAGAACCTAAATTCGCACTAATTGGAGCGATTATATCAACATATATTTCTCAGTACATATTAGGTGTTGGAATTAATTCGTAGCGTTTTACAAGTGATGGGAAGTACTTTCATTAATGTATTTTTTAATGCTCATGTGAAATAAATAACATTCTTTCATTAAAAACGCTACGAATTAATTCCAACACCTAATATAATACCGAACGTTTCGACTTAATTCAATCCATCTTCATTCGATTTGCGACTATTTAAATTGTATTAAGGAAGTTGTATTATACGAGGTTACTCGTAAGATGTTTGGAATTATTTATCAAGAAAATTTAGTATACTAGACTGCTGAAGATGGCTTGAGTTAAGTCGAAACGTTCGATATCTATTACATATGTATATATTGTATATATTGCACTGAGAAATATATGTTAATATAACCACTGCAATTATTGCGAATTTAGGCTCTTAATTGCCCGTATTTTCATTTATTGTTTATAATTTTTATCTCAAGAATCTTTAATTATTCTTTGATTTTCAAAACATCGTACATATATTTACTTTTAATTTCTGTATTACTATAATTTACACAATTCACAAATATAAAGTGATAACTTATTTTTATATTCTATTTTTTATTCCGCTTCCTCCCTTCTCCCTCCTCTTCTCTCTGCTTCTCGCATCTCTTACACTCTTATTACGAATTTTCTAAAGGTTTTTGTTTGCGGTTTGCACAAAACATTTTTATAAGCATCGAGAAAAAATATTTTTAGTATTATTGGAACATTTCTAAGTTAAATGCCACAAAATAGACCTCGAAATTATTTTTTGTTTAGTCGGAAAAAATTTATAAAAAAGTTACTTTCGAAAAAAACTGTTTTTACGATTATTTAAAAAATGTAGGGTAATAAAAAAAAAACAGACAACGTAGTGATTTTCAGCGTATCAAAATTCTACAGAAACATCTTTCGAAGTTCAAAGCACAAGATCCTTTCTAAATTTTGTCGGCCTGTGTAATCCTTCCTATAGAATTCACTCCCTATTTGAATTGGGAATCCTCGGTCTCTTTCAAACACAATCCCTATTATCATCTGCGATGGCAAACGCTGTACCGTAATAATGGTTGCTTTTGTAGTGTCCTGTTTGGTTGTTCACACGAGTCAGTCAAATTTCTATAATTAATCACCTTTTGTTACTATTTTTATTATTTATATTTTATCAATTTTTGTTATTACTTTCTTTCATTTTTGTTATTCTCTTGTAATTAACGAGTTCTTTCTTCACATATATTTATACCTACCAATTTGTATGTTCCTAGAGGGCAAGCCTTAAGATAGGATAAATGCTTTCTCTCTCTCTCTCTCTCTCTCTCTCTCTCTCTCTCTCTCTCTCTTTCTGCACTTTAAAATAATTATTTTTATGGTTTAATATTATTTTTATAAACTTTGTACAATAAATATACACAGAAAATGGAAAAAAAAATACTTTTTTATCCGCGTTCGAAATTTGTCGTCACTGTGTATACATTAACAATACACGACTTAGTTTGTGCAGACGTCACACGTAAGTGCAATGGCTTCAGATGTAACCCGTCACACGTGAACAATGTGTGATAGAATGGCGATGATAACTCAGAAAGATCCATTGCGTTATTATTATTGAGGAAATTAATTAGACTCGACTGACGCGAGTCAGCATGATATTACGCATATAACTTACACATTTCTATGCTTTTATTTCTTTATCATCCGCCTACATAACTGGTCGCCAATCAATATTTAAACAATCAATACGACAGATGCATCAAATAAAACAGTATAGTGGCTTGAAAGATGATAGTCCAAAAAAAGGTGCTAAAAAAAGGAAAAAAAAAGAGAAAAAAAAATAAATTAACCATTTATGTAATTTTAGACTATTTGCCTTAGGAAAATATTTCTATGCCAGGGCTCGGCACAATTTGTACTTCTCGGTGATTTTGACTCGGCTCTGCCTTCCGCTACTCTTCTCATTTTATCATCCCGCGCATAATTCAAATGCCATGTCGCTCAACACTTAGAATATAATTAAGATAGAATGAAGCAACGCGTTCAATCTTGTGCGCGTTGCTTCATTCGATTGTAGTTATGTAATAAACAAAAAAAAAAGATAAAATAAACGGCGTGAGCGCCCAAAGCAGATAGGCCTCATATCTACGAGCTACTTATACGCTTCTAAGTCGAGCGGCATTTAGACTGCGCGCGAGATGATGAAGTGAGAAGAATAGCAGGAGGTGGAACCAAGCCGAAAATCGACTGAGAAATGCAAATCGTGCAGAGCTCTGTTCTACGCCATCGAAACGCAACCACTTCGTTTCCAATTCCTGCCATATGTGTCGTTTACACAAACATGTATCTCGACATGTTATCTTGTAGGGGCCATGCGCTATTTTCTTTTTCGCGCGACGTATTGACATTTTAGCGATGATTCTTGTTGAAGCAAAACGTTTGCCTCGTGAAAGAAAACAAATGTAATAAAAGAATAATCAACGCATTGCTCTGCTACGTGTTTTTTATTATTTTCGTTCCATTTGATCAGATCTTGATAATATTATTCTAGTAGCTCTTACTGAACAATTCGAAGGAATTCTAGATAGAGGAATTCTTTAATTCGTACCATGAAAGAATAAAATTAAAATATGTTGAAGCGACAATATAGGAATTAGTTACCTAGATGTAATACTATCAATCGATGATGAAGGAATTATTTTTTATATATATAAAAAAATTGACAACTTCAAGTCATTTATTAAATTTGTATTCTAATCATCCCATAAAAAAGGAGTCGTCATTGGACAACTTGACAAATTGTATTTTTATCCCATCCAAGATTCCACGAAAAAAATATTACGGTTCTAATTAATTCATTATTGAATAATGGATATTCTCTAGAATTTTTATTCTCCACCATCAACAACAGGATCAAATCACTTACAAAACAAAAAATTATGATAATATTAAAGATGATAAAAATATAATCTCTGACTCTAATATTGAAAAAGAAAAGTTCTTTGTTGTTCCTTATCTGAAAAACATTTCTGAAAAATTCAAAACCATGAAAAAAAATTCAATTTCAGAATTGCCCAAAAACCTATGAACAATTTAAGTTTGTTTATTAAGACTGGCAAAGATAACAAATAAAAAAGAAGAAAGATCATACGAATGTCGTGTACAAAATTAATTAATTGCCTTCATTGCGAGTCTTCATATGTCAGGCAAACCAAAAGAAAGTTGAACACTCGTAAGGAACACAAATCAGATATTAGATATTAGAAAGCCTGAAAACACAATGTCTATAATATCTCACCATAAACTGGATTATAATCAGAACATGGACCGGAATAATATAATGATCCTTGATTCAGAGCAGCTATATTTTAGAAAATTAGAGATAATACATCATACTCTCAGAGATAATACATATAAAAAGACAAAGTTCTGGATTAACCCTAACCAACCACTCTTGGGTCCAACGTACTCTATGCAATTTTTCACATTACTATAATTTTTTTATAATATAATTTGAAAATTCAGATTGAGAGAGGCTGAAAAAAAACTTTAACTGTCCATAGATAAGCCTGCAAGGATATTTTTCTTTTTTTGCATTATTCTCGATATGACAATGCACGAAAGTTCAAAGAGGATACTTGGGATCCGCACGTGAGCTAGCTTGTAAGTTTTCGGCGTTCTGGGTACTCCTTTATTTTTTATTAAATATACGTTTATTGAGTTTCGGATAGTATAAAAGTAAGTACACAAAAATGTAGAATTAAAAAGAATTATTTCAATATAATAAATAGTAGAAATTTTATAATCTCGGTCTTTGGAGATGCCCGGCTTGGCCGGAGCGGATGTATTGCTTTAAAACGAGCGTTACATCATCCTCTAAACTAAATCCTAATAAACATAATTATACACACTATAATAATATTTATACATGTACAATCCTTTATCTATCATTTTATATTGCTTAAATAATAAAATTTTATTTATTAATTGTAAACTTATAATATGTATAGATTTTTCAAAAATGTCGATTTTTCGATAATTCAAATAATTATACTTTTTTGAGCAAGTCATATCTACTATTTTTTTTATTAATCCAAAGGATCAACTAAAAAAATCTTACTGGTTTTTGTTTGAACATTAAATTTAAAAATTTGAGAATTTTTATCCAAAGTACAATAATTTTTTGCGAATTTTTCCAA